CACTAGCCTCCCCTTCTTTGAAACTTTGCACTGAGACAGCTTCACACATTTCTGTATTTAGTTGTGTCTTAACACTAATTGTAAGATCTGTCACATCTACTAGATTATAAAGGAGCTTGAGGGCAGAGATATGGCTGCGATCTTCCACAGTGTTGATTCTAGCCTGGAGCATCAGGTGTTCAATACATACAAATTGATAAGAAATTTATCTCCTTTGCATTTTGATGGCAAAAATCTCTTCTTTTATGGTCAGTAATTTACACCCTGAGATTACATAAATGGGCACAAAACACTTATATTTCTAAAATAAAATACACTGGTTATCTTGGGACCAATGATATGCTAATGTATGTTAGCACACGGTGGTAAGTTTCCCTGAACGTGACATCCCTCTTTTCAGAATCCTGTATGCAGTGTCCATTGGACCTCAGAACTGCCATTTAGCATGTTCTTTATCTCCTAGTGGCACCCTCAGCCACTGCAGGAGAAACGCTTCTTTCTTTTTTTTTTTTCGAGACGGAGTCTTGCTCTGTCACCGGGCTGGAGTGCAGTGGCGCAATCTCAGCTCACCGCAACCCGTCTCCCAGGTTCAAGTGATTCTCCTGCCTCAGTCTCCTGAGTAGCTAGGACTACAGGCACATGCCACCACGCACAGCTAATTTTTGTATTTTTGGTAGAGACAGGGTTTCACCATGTTGGCCGGGATGGTCTCGATCTCTTGACCTCGTGATCTGCCCGCCTTGGCCTCCCAAAGTGCTGGGATAACAGGCATGAGCCACTGTGCCCGGCTGAGAAACCCTTCCTTTAGCTTTACTAAGAGTTCTTGAGATTCATGAAATACAGTGGGTAAGCTCTTGTTCAATCATGTATCATTTATAATCTGGAGTGAACTAATTGCTAAACATTAAACTAAAGAGAATTTTCTTTCAGTTTTCCATCCTAGATATGCAAAATTTTTCCAAAGTTCACTGGAAATAATGATTCTAGGGACTCACATCTGACTGTTGCCAGCCAGTTTCTCAGCTATATGCCTCTACTAGAGTATTGCCAGCATTCTTTAAAAGTCTTGAAATATGTAATCATTACCATCTGTTATGTTGTACAAAATGGCACTGGTTCCAGGCTCTAATATGCAGCTCTCCAGTGTTGGGCAGTGAACATGGAGGCAGTTGATATTGTCATGAATAGGATCGTGGTAGAAGACAGCCAGGTTACAGGAAACTGAAAGGGAAACAAGCAAAGTACATCTGTGGATGGTCTCAATTTCCACCAGTTTCATGAACTCTGAGTAACTTATATTTGTTTCAGGAATACTGGATTAACAGTATTTTTCAGGGCAATGTGCAGACATTTTGCAGAACATTTATAAACTATTGTAACTGCTTCTGTGAATATGGAAAATACTTTTTAAAAAAATTTTTTTGAGACAGGGTCTCGCTCTGTCACTCAGGCTGGAGTGCAGTGGTGCGATTACAGCTCAGTGCAGCCTAGACCTTCCGGGTCCAAGCAATCCTTCCACCTCAGTCTCCCAAATAGCTGGGACTAGAGGCCCACATCACCATGCTGGGCTAATTTTTGTATTTTTTGTAGAGGCAGGGTTTCACCATGTTGCCCAGACTTGTCTCAAACTCCAGAGCTCAAGCCATCTGCCTCCCGCAAAGCTGGAATTACAGGGAGGAGCCATCCCACCCAGCCAGAAAATGCCTTTTTAAAGAAAATACAGATTTTCTCAAAGTAATCTTTCATACTTTCCATCCCACACAGGATATTTGGAATCATTCATTATTTCCTGGTCCCAGAATTTTGTGTTCATGAAAAGTTAGATTAGCTACAAAAACCTCTGGGGGCCCGGCGTGGTGGCTCATCCCTGTAACCCCACCACTTTGGGAGGCTGAGTGGGGCAGATCACCTGAGGTTAGGAGTTCGAGACCAGCCTAACCAACATGGAGAAACCCAGTCTCTACTAAAAACACAAAATTAGCCAGGCGTGGTGGCGCATTCCTGTAATCCCAGTTACTTGGGAGGCTGAGGCAGGAGAATTGCTTGAACCCAGGAGGTGGAGGTTTCAGTGAGCCGAGATCCCGCCATTGCATTCCAGCCTGGGCAACAAGAGCGAAACTCCGTCTCAAAAACAAAACAAAACAAAACAAAACAAAAAACCCTGGGGATTTACACATCAGGTTTCTAGGCACAGTGTCCTCTCAGAATACTAAGGGGCTGGGGGTCACCAGAGAAAGAAATAGGAAAATACAAGGACAAATGCTGTAAAGAAGAGGGAGTAGTGGGAAGGGCAAAAGAGTAATACCTGAACGGCCCAGATGGTGGAAAGGCCACAGGCTGTGTCAGCATCACCTTGCCCTGACTGCAGGTGTGCACTCTCCCCAGATGTAAAACCACATCCAAAGAAAAGCCTAATCAGTGTCATTTAAAGAGGCAGGGACTGGACAGGCAGAGATGCTAGCAGGTAGAATTCTAGCAGGTGGGGACACACTACTGGCTCATGCTGTCTTTCCCTCTCTAAGCAAATTTGCTTTTTAAAACATGCTCTCTGGCCAGGCGCAGTGGCTCACACCTGTAATCTCAGTGCTTTGGGAGGCCAAGGTGGCGGATCACTTGAGGTCAGGAGTTCGAGACCAGCCTGGCCAACTTGACAAAACATCGTCTCTACTAAAAAAACAATTACAAATATTGGCTGGGCGTGGTGGCACGCACCTGTAACCCCAGCTACTCAGGAGGCTGAGGCACGAGAATCACTTGAACC